CCTCGCCCGCGGGGCCCGCCGCGCCCGGCGAGCTGGGCTGGCTGTCCATGGCCAGCCGCGAGGACCTGATGAAGATGGTGCGGCCGCCCTACTCGTACTCGGCGCTCATCGCCATGGCCATTCAGAGCGCGCCCGAGCGCAAGCTCACGCTCAGCCACATCTACCAGTTCGTGGCCGACAGCTTCCCCTTCTACCAGCGCAGCAAGGCCGGCTGGCAGAACTCCATCCGCCACAACCTGTCGCTCAACGACTGCTTCAAGAAGGTGCCTCGCGACGAGGACGACCCAGGTGAGGGCGGCCGCGCAGGTGCTTCCCGGCCGGCGGGAGGGCGGGGAGGCGGCGCACGGGCGAGGTGGGGGTCTGTGTGTGGCTGGCTTGAAGATCCACGCCGAGTCTTCTTATTCTAACCGGGGATGGGAGCTGATGGAGGAACAGCCACCTGAACCTCGTGTGATTAGTGCGAGGAGAAGCCAGAGGACAAAGAGAAGTATCAGAGGATCCTCGAGGGAGGACCTGGTGAGGGAGGAGCTCGTCCCTTCTCCCACACACACTTACACCCACACACCCACCCACGAACACACACGCAGAGGCTAGCCAGTTAGAGACAAAGGAAAAAGCCGATATCCTCAAGCAGAAAGCCAACCGTGGGTGGTGTTCATCAAGCCATTTGAAGGGAGGGTCAAGTTACGGGGAGATAGAGTGGCAATAAGAACTGGTGAACTCTCAGATAAGGAATAATTTAAAGGGATTCAGGTGAGCTGAGAATCCCATCACATTTCACAAAAGAGGTGGTGAGAGACCTAGAGGAACAGCTGTCCACAGATGCGCTGCCTCCTGCATCACGTTCGTAAGAGACAACCTGTGTCCTTCATGAAACAAGCACTGTGCCTACCTTGAGAGAGACGATGTGAGGATAGTGGCACAGGCATCATGAGACGGGGCCAGAGGGATCCGAGAACTTGAGCTGGGTCCTGCAAATCGTGGTTTTGGTACCCTAATAATTTAGAAATGTAAAAATGAAAACCCCAGATTTGCTTTGTTCTGATCTAAGCCCTGGGGTGAGGAGGGCTGGGGTACAGTGGGGTGTTAGTGGTTTCCCTCTTCCCTGGGAAGTGGAGGCGGAGGAGAAAAGCTCAAAAACGAGAAACAGAATCCTACTTGAGGTTTTCAGAAGGAGCCCAGGACGAGGGAGGTGGGGGCAGAGTTGTGATAGGAAAAAGAGAAGAGAAAGAAAACAGTTTCAGATGCACACTACAGAGATCCAGGATTTTATGTCAATTATGTAAATACCCTGGAGTATTCTTATCTGAAGTCATTCTAGAGCAGTGCTTTCCAATAAAAATACAGGACAAACTATATTGTAAATTTTCTAGTAGCCACATTAAAAAAGTAAAAAGAAACAGGTAAAATTACTTTTAATATTTTTTAAGTAACCCAAAACAGTATTTTAACATATAACAAATATAAAAATTATTAGTGAGATACTTTATTTTTTGGTACTGAGTCTTCAAAAACCTTTGTATGTTTTACACCACATCTCACTTGGTCTAGCCACTTTTCAAGTGCCCAGCAGCCACGTGTGCCTAGAGGTGACTTTTTGTGTGTGTGTGAGGAAGATCAGCCCTGAGCTAACATCCGATGCTGATCCTCCTCTTTTTTTGCCGAGGAAGATTGGCCCTGGGCTGACATCTGTGCCTATCTTCCTCTACTTTACATGGGACCCAGCCACAGCATGGCGTGACAACCTGCGAACCCTGGGCCACGAAAGCGGAGTGCGGACACTTAACCGCTTGCACCACCAGGCTGGCCCGGCCTCCAGGTGACTGTATTGGACAGGGCATGCAGTTCTAGAATATGCCTCTTCCCTATTTGGCCTCTAAATCACCTGAGATTATCATGTAAATTGTCGTGTATACTCCTCTGGACTTTCTAAAAAGTTCAGGGATCTATGGCTAGTGGCTCATCAAAGCACTTGGTATCCAGGTGGCACAATATAATTATCCTGATAGGTTTTATTATTTAATATTTATTATTTATTATTAAATCTATCTTGATCGATATTATTATTTAGATGGTAGTTGTATGAATAAATTTTATTCTGCAACTATTTGCAGAAAATGTGTCAGTAGAGATAATGGGTGTGAGGGAGTGGGTGCTAATTTGTGGAGGCAACTTAACAGTGGTTAGTTAAGAATGCTGAGTCCAGAGTCAGCCTGGTTAAATCCTGGCTCTGTCATTGCTAACTGGGAATATGGCAGGTTACTAACCAATCTGCACCTCAATTTCCCCATCTGAAAAATAGAGGCAGTAATATTGAGGAGTGGTGAGGAGTAACTGAAGCTATCCGTGTAAAGCACTCACTGCCAGATAAGTGCTTAACACTCCTTTCAGATGCCAAAGATTTTTACCAGAAGTAAAAAAGTGTTGGGAGACAAAATCCTCCAAGATGATAGATCTTTTTTACCTCAGCTGTGCTAGATGGAGGGAAATTTTCTAAGCAGGAGACTAGGTAGCATTGCATGCATTAAATGGGGCTCTGATCTCCGAGATTTGCCCAGTGGAGGAAAAGCTTAGAAGAGAGGCAGGGGCGCCTCCTGCCCAAGGTAAGCAGGGGAGGTAGACTCCGGTAGCTTCCTTATACCCCGAATATATGCCATCCAAGGCGTTGTTAAAACCATTGATTGCTCAGTAACAACTTTTGTTGTCATTTTTGTATGGCAAGGCAGAGGATTGGGTATTTGAGATTGCCTTTTTCCAGTGGGGTATTTTTGTAGGGGCGAGTATTGTACCCATTCAGCAAATAATAATGATGACAGATATTGTTTTTTCACTGCTTACTGTGTGCCAGCTACTATGCAGAGATATCATTTAACCCTCACAGCCAACCTATAAAGTGGGTACTGTTTTTATCTCTATTTTTATAAATAAACAGAGGCTTAAGTTTAAGTTGCGCCAGAATTCCATAATTTTGCAAGGGCACAATGTGGATCTAGAAGGGAGGGTGTTGGGTAATTATAAGAGCCTTGGGAATAGAGTTAGTTCCTAAGATTTCAGTAGCAGACACTACCCAGGAGGAGGTGGAAGTGGCCAGAACATCTTTGTTCTCCTTGAAGGTAAAGAATAAAATCTCTCCCAAAAGGATAAATTTAAACGGCAGAGTGGATTGAGCATCTTTGTCAGTGTTTAATGAGAGTCTGCCCTTCTTCTCCCAGAACTGAAGCTGAATACATGGCCATAAACTAGATCCTTCTCTGACTCGTCTTTCTTTCTCATCTCCGTAGGGAAAGGTAATTACTGGACCTTGGATCCAAACTGTGAGAAAATGTTTGACAACGGGAACTTCCGCCGGAAGCGAAAGCGCCGCTCTGAGGCCAGCAGCACCTCCACAGTGGCCGCAGGGACATCAAAATCAGAAGAAGGGCTTTCCTCAGGATTGGGGTCTGGAGTGGGTGGGAAGCCAGAAGGAGACAGCCCCTCCGCTTTGCTAAGGCCTCCCCAGTCCCCAGAGCCTCCAGAGGGCACCAAGAGTACTGCCTCCTCCCCAGGAGGGTCCATGCTCACCTCCACCCCGTGCCTCAATACCTTCTTCAGCAGCCTCAGCACCTTAAGTGTCAGCAGCAGTGGGAGCACCCAGCGAGCTCTCCCTGGCAGCCGCCACCTAGGGATCCAGGGGACCCAGCTGCCATCCAGCAGCACATTCCCCCCGAGCTCCATCTCGGAGGCCTCGCCAGACACCTTGCAGCTGAGTAACACCAGCACCAGCAATGGCGGCGGCAGCCAGAGGTCTTCCTATTACAGCCCCTTCCCTGCCAGCACCAGCGGGGGTCAAAGCAGCCCCTTCAGCAGCCCCTTCTACAACTTCAGCATGGTCAACAGCCTCATCTACCCCCGGGAGGGCTCTGAGGTATAGAGGCTGCTTCTCAGACTTGAATATGCACACCTGAGATCTTGTTAAAATACAGATTCCAAGGCAGTAGGTCTGGGGCAGGAACTGAGATTCTGCATTTCTCTGGAGCTCCCGAGTGATCCTGTGGTCCATTGACCACACTTGGAGTAGCATGGGTACAGTAGATAATACTTTCTACAACCCAGCAAGCTTTTACAGGTTTCTCTGGATAAGGGCCTCCCTGGAGAGAAATGCACCTCACTCTGCTCTGGGGTGGTACCTGTGAGCCCTGTGAGGGCAGGGACCGTGTTTTGTTCATCGCTGTACATCAGGGTTACAAGCTCAAATGTTTACCGGGGCTGGCTAGAAAATAAGCAAATGAAGTTATTGGGTAGGAAAAAGGTAGCAGTCGGCAGCTGAAGCAGAAGGGTGTGGTTGGGACTGAGCAGCTGAAAGCTGCGGTGGGCAGCTAGTTATCTCCTGCCTGGCAGCATTCAGATTTTTCTAGAAAGGTCAGATATCTGGATTTTACTGGAGACTTCCATTTGTATTCTTTGCCACAAATGAAAGTCTTAAAAATATTATAGTAGAAAACAGCACAAATCCCTGAGCTCTGTCCAGCTCACGAATCACCTCTGCTTGTGCTCAGTGTCTGGTACGTGGCAGTTACTAACAGCAGTAAAAGTGCCCAAGCAAGCCCTGTGTACAAGGCACTGTTCTAGACACTTGATATGTATTAACTCATGTAATCTTCACAACAACCTTGGGAGGTAGGTATTATTACAAGTCCTCATTTTCCATATGAGGGCAGTGAAACTCCAAGATGTTGGGTAACCACCCAAGGCCACACAGGTAGTGAGTCACGGAGCCAGGGTCAGGCCCAGGCAATCTGGTTCCAGAGCTGGTGCTTGTAAAGCTCTGTGTTCTAGTTCCTAAAGAACAAAGGTGCCCGCGTCCATAGGCAGACATAGTGTATGGGGGTAGGAATGAGCTGGATCTCATCTGACCAAAGATTCTGGTTGAAATAAATATCACCTGAGATGTTCCCCTGAGCAGTGAGGATGGACACCACCTCTGCCTTACTTCTGCTGCCATAGGCCTGAGATCTGGGGTGACCATTGTCCTAGTTAACTTGATGTCCTATCCCTTTTAGCATGTGTCCTGGATTTTTCATTTTTTTAACAAAGTATTGGGATTCTGTTAAAAATAGTTTTTGAATGGAATTTTTATAATTTTTAAAGGAACCATTGTGGTCAAAAATTTTTTTAAAAAATAATTTATTTTTGGTATTCCCTTTTACTTCTCAAGAGGTACCTTCATTTGAATAATTTTTATGGTCATCGTCCCAGTGCGCAGCAGAATGCACAGTACATGGCAGACATTCAGCCACTGTTTGAACTTATCCAAAAAGTATTAATTAAAATGCAGATAGTTGTTGATTTTATTGGATTTTATTGGAATAGTGTTGCGTTAAGATGAAGATAATGTCCTATTAATTGCCTTTGTACCATGTTGTTGGGTCTTTGATAGGAGCATTACTGGTTTGGGGTTTTAATTTTTTTAGAAAAAGAAACACAAGTGCATTGTGAAAAATTTCTAACTTTTCCTTGTGTATTCTTTCTTGAGACTCTCACAACATTACTCAAATTTTTATTTTGAAATATACACACAGAAAATTATTTTTTAAACAGTTTATTGAGGTATAAAAAACTGCCATTACTTTGTAAGTATTATGCAGAAAGACAACCAAAGAGACTACCTACCCCATATTGTGTGTACAAAACACCAGTTTCTATGGATATTTTTCTATGTGAAAAAATCATATGAACTTTTATAAATATTGTTTCTAATGCAATTTTATATTTGTAAATTAATTTATAATGTGAACTGGGACAAAACATTTTTTTCCCAAGAAAGTACACTGCATGCTGAGAATCACATGAAATAAACTTTAAGTGGGATGACTTTGGGCCACTTTTAGGCATTACTGGTTTTCTGTCTTCAGCTTTTTTTTCCTAACAGAATAGAGATGTAGGTGGCATGGCACCAAAGCCACGACAGGGACTTGGTACGTGTTGAGAGAGAGTGACTGATTTTTCATGGGATTTGTTCATTTGTTTCATTGTGAATGAAACAGTTACTCTTTGGGGAGGGTCTATAGGCACATGAGCGTTTTATTTATTTTTAACAAAGTAACGATTCTGTCATTTAGATTAAAGTGAATTTCAGTGCATCAGACGTCTTCTGTTGTGGAAGGAAACGGTGCTGTAAGGCCTCGAGAGCTAGCAGCTCTCTTCAGGTGGAGCTCTGGGTGTTGTGGTCCTCAGGGGGGCCAAAGGCTGCCCATCATTTCCAAGGAAATAGCTAGGACACTGTTGAACTTGGCCCCATCTAGAAGAAACCTGAAAGATGAGGTTTCTAGACTAAGGTCTCTCAGCATCAGCATATTGATATTTGGGGCTGGATAATTTGTTGTAGAGGTTGCAGTGGATATTTAACAGCATCCCTGGTCTACCTATTAGATGTCAGGAGTACTCCCCCTCTGCCCTGGCCATTTGTGACAACCAAAAGAATCTCCAGACATTGACAAACGTCCCCTTGGGGGCAAAATTAAGCCTCGTTGAGAACCACTGATCTAGACCAGTGCCCACAATTTGCCAGTGAGGAAACGGAGCCCCCTGACTCCCCCACACAAAGTCCTAGGTCCTAGGCTAGTAGTTGAGCCCTGAATGAATTCAGCCTTGGGCTTCTGGTACAGGACAGTTTCTGTCCTATGTGATGCCTTTTCTAAAGAAAATGAGTTGTGAGCAGGGGCAACCCAATACCTGAGGCGTTTCTGAGAACTTCGATCTACCAGTGTGCCTGTCACACGCTGGAGAGAGACTCCTCCGATATTTTAGTCACTCATTGTAGATTCTTATGGTAGCTTCCTTCTTGGCATCTAATTATTTCTATGAATAGAGACCTAGGCTGGGAATAATTTTGACCAAACAATAATAAACTATCTGGGTTATTAGTTTTTTTTTTTTTTTTGGCAAGGGCGTGGGGGACAGGCAGGAGGGTTTCCTGGGAAGAAAGACATATTAAAAGAACGTGATTAACCTGTATTTGGAAGTATCTAGATCCGGGTGGTTGATGGATGGCATTTATGAGAACAGAGGCGAAGAGAAGAATCTTCTGATCTGCACGACTGTGAAGGGCGGCAGGCAGCTCAGTCCTCACTACCAGGACTTAAGAAGCTGTGCTGTGGGCCAGTCTCCATCAGGGAGCTGCATCCTGCTGGGCGTGGGATTAAAGGGAAAGGGACAAGGGCCAATGCCTGTGATGTTGCCAGGTCAAAGTCTGCAGCAGCACTCCAACTGGCACCAGTTTCCTGCATCTGCAAAATTTTCTGCCTGGGAACCAGGTCAGAAATTGTGGATCTGAGCTAGACTTCACTTTCCATTGTTCAGGATAGTGCAGAGGAAAAGATGTGGCCCCATGGCATATAGTCAAGCGTCCTGCTTTCTCTGGGTTTTCCTGGGGACTAATGTCAAGTTGCAGCCCAGGCTGAGGCCACTGGCACAGCAGCTGCCTTCCGGCCTTCTAGGACCTAGTGTACCCTTCAGAGTAAGATGGGGCAAAGGAGAATTCAAAAAACTAACAAGCAGGTTTCAGGTTTCCTTCTGGATACTTTTAGATCCTTCATCCCATTCTTGAACTTACTGGGCAAAGGCAGCTGGGGGGCCTAGGGGCTTCAAAAACTGTGTGTCTGCACCCCGACTCCTCCCCCAGCCCCCGAGGGCACTTACAAGTCCCTCCTTGGCCATGAGGAAAGTCACAACCAGAGGAACCTCCCAAACTCTGCTCTTTTCCTCCCTGAGGCTTCCCAGAACTTGGACGGAGCCTGAATCCTCAGGGTCTAACTGGTTTTTGTTTTCTTGAGCTGCTTTAGTAGCTAAACCTTGAGGTTGTTCATGAAAAAGAAACCCCTGGAGTTTTCCTGAGGCAGGGATTTGCGGGTTTCGGGGTAGAGACCTGGCGGCCGACACCGCCTTGCCTTTTGTCATGGAAAGCAGTCAGCTGGGGCGTGGGGCTGAGTGGCTGGCACCACTGAAGAAAGAAGGAATTTCCTGTCAGATCTGAAAACAAAAAAGGTCAAAAAAGACCAGATACCTACTGAATTCCTCCCTGCTTTTTTATTCACGATGTCAGGGGATCATCACCAAAACCCTGGGAGGCCTGGAGAGCAGTCCTTTATTGTTTTAAAACAGGTAAACATTACAATAATAATAACGCACTTGTTAGGTGCCAGGCACTGTCCTAAAATATATATATTAAATATAAAATGGCTATATTAACCCTCCCAACAACTCTGTGAAGTAGATACTGTTGTTATTCTTTTTTTTTTTAAAGATTTTATTTATTTATTTTCCCCCCAAAGCCCCAGTAGATAGTTGTATGTCACAGCTGCACATCCTTCTAGTTGCTGTATGTGGGACGCGGCCTCAGCATGGCCGGAGAAGCAGTGCGTCAGTGCACGCCCAGGATCTGAACCTGAGCCGCCAGCAGCGGAGCGCACGCACTTAACCGCTAAGCCACGGGGCCGGCCCGATACTGTTGTTATTCATTCACCAATGAAAATATCGAGGACCACAGAGTTTGTATAACTGGGTGATGGTCAAAAATCTAAGTGGTTGCTGCTGGTAAGTGGTCAAACAGATTCAAAATCAGGCCATCTGATGTCAGAGCCCACCTGCCTTTAACCTACTATACTGCCTCTCCATTTTGAAGATGAGAAAGGAGAGGCACAGAGAGGTTAAGTGACTTGCCCAAGGCCACACAGCTTGTTGGTTGCAAATTTGGGCTTAGAGCCCAGACTCCTGCCCCACTGCCTCCCCTTCAGTGATGTTCCCTTCTGGCATTTCCTTTGCATGCTCCCTGAGGTTGGTTTTTATGTCTGGGGCTCTTTTTTGTGGCTACAGGAAGGTAAGCTGTGGGAAGGGAAGTCACTTTTCCTTGACATGTCCTCCTTTGCAGGATCAGCCAGCAGCCAGGTCAGAGGCCCAGATCTGGGGCTGTGAAGCTGCCAAAGGAAGCCAGATGTTGGAGATACTGGTTTGGAACCTTGCACTCATGGGAAATTTATCCACTGACTCAGCAAATCCCTTTGGGCATCAGGCCCTGTGCTGGGCATTGGGGATACGGAGCTAACTAAGACCCACTCAGACCCTTAGCAAGCATGGCAGAAGCCTGGAATAGATGTGCAGAGGGTGGGGAGGATCCGCAGGGTGGGGCCGAGCTTCCTCCACCTAGCTGCC